CGTGACACTCGAATAACTTACTAATTACTTACAACTAATAACTTATTTTAATATGGATGTTCTAGTGGAATGTAGCCGGACTTGAAAAAAGTTAAGTCCGGATTCCGGACAAAGATGTGATGTCCGTATGCGTGCTTTTGTCCGGAGCGATCCGAACGCTGNGTAGGAACGAAATTATCGCGTCGCGGCGAGAGAGACGCCGCGCGAACGAATGTATCAGAATGTGCAGCAATTAAGAAATACAGGAACAAAGGAACCAACATGATAAAAATAACAATTGCGTATCGATTGAGCTGTATGAAGGACGCTAGAACCGTTATAACAAGGCGAATGCTCTGCCACTGCCACGAATCGATTACACAAAACCGATCCTACTGCCCGTCTCCCATCTCCTCTGATATAGAAATATTTCAGATTAATTTCATAGGAATAGTAAGAAAAAGTTCCAAAGTAGGGAAGACGTTACAAACTGGTTTGATGACTGGCTAATCTTGTTACCAGAATCATCTAAGGTTTATTATTCTCACAGAAAATTTTTTAGTACAACAGTTCCAACGACAACTACACCAACCACGATGAAGAAAACATCAGCGTCAATGAAACATACGACGACGACAACAACAACAACGACAGCGGCAACAACAACAACAACGACAATAATGACAACAAAAACAACAGCAACAACAACGAAGCCCATTACGAGCACGTCTACAAAGCCAACGGTGTCAAACACAGTAACAACAAGTAGGACAACAACGATTGCAACAACAACAAGTACGAAAACTTCGAGAAACGATCCCCAAACAAACGTCGCGGCAAAATCATCAGGAAACAAATCAACGACAAAATCTTCCATAGTTCATGCGCCGGCGTCTGGTGGGTCCGTCAATGGTACAACAACAGCAACCACAGCCCAATGGAATTCGACGAGTGGGACTCCAACGACTGAGGCAACAGCATCAACAGGTACAACTGAACATTTATTACTTCTGTACCTGTCATGTGAACGGGGACCTTGTTATTTGAAAGGAATTCAAGATCAGGTAGCGTACCGATTTCTCTGAGTAGTAGGACCTCGAACCTGACTAGTGACTAGAACTTTTGGGATAAACCGACTTCCTTCAAGTTGGATATAGGTCAGACTGGTCCTAAACTTTTGTTATTTCAACTTGCTCAAGGCGACCAGGAACTGTCCTTAATGTCAACACTTTCTTCCCGAGTATGTTACTCGCCGAGATGATGAGAAGGTATGACATCCTTACAGTATAACTGCAATTTCTCATCGGGAAGTTCGTCCTAACAGAAGTGAGGATTATGGGCAGAGTTAGAGCCAGAGCAAAAGAAGCAGAGCATTTCTCTGTCAAACTCCCGAAACTCACGTGACACTCGAATAACTTACTAATTACTTACAACTAACAACTTATCTTAATATGGATGTTCTAGTGGAATGTAGTCGGACTTGAAAAAAGTTAAGTCCGGATTCCGGACAAATATGTGATGCCCGTATGCGTGCTTTTGTCCGGAGCGATCCGAACGCTGTGTATTATGCAATCCATAGA